TTTGACAAGAAATTAAGATGTTCCATCTTGCATGATTATCAATTTCAGTTCATTAGCGTGTAGCTCGTCCAGCTCGTCTGTTAATTAACATTGAATATCATTCAATATTTATAACAGATACGAACACAATACAATCTCATGCAGCTATTGAAGGCTATTAAGACATGCGGACTCTGGATTTAATGAGCAACTTCGATACAAGTTGGTTGTCGTGTCACTATGTCTGCATGTCTGATGCCTTCATTGACGATTATGTCTGATGTTCCATGGTGCCTTCATTGACGATTATGTCTGATGTTCCATGCTGCCTTCGTTGATGAACATGTCTGATGTTCCACGCTGCCTTCATTGATGAACATGTCTGATGTTCCACGCTGCCTTCATTGATGAACATGTCTGATGTTCCATGCTGCCTTCATTGATGAACATGTCTGATGTTCCATGCTGCCTTCATTGATGAACATGTCTGATGTTCCACGCTGCCTTCATTGATGAACATGTCTGATGTTCCACGCTGCCTTCATTGATGAACATGTCTGATGTTCCATGCTGCCTTCGTTGATGAACATGTCTGATGTTCCATGCTGCCTTCATTGATGAACATGTCTGATGTTCCACGCTGCCTTCGTTGCTGAACATGTCTGATGTTCCACGCTGCCTTCATTGATGAACATGTCTGATGTTCCATGCTGCCTTCGTTGATGAACATGTCTGATGTTCCATGCTGCCTTCATTGATGAACATGTCTGATGTTACATGCTGCCTTCATTGATGAACATGTCTGATGTTCCATGCTGCCTTCATTGATGAACATGTCTGATGTTCCATGCTGTCTTCATTGACGAACATGTCTGATGTTACATGCTGCCTTCGTTGATTAACATGTCTGATGTTCTACGCTGCCTTCGTGGCTGAACATGTCTGAAATAACATGGCGTCGCCAAAGTTACGAGGACAGCAAAGTAGAGTCGCTCTAATGAGCTTTCATTAATGAGACGCAGCTTAATCAGACCCTGGGTCTGGTGACCAATTCCTTAATCAGACCGGATCCTGGCGACCAATTCACCCCGACTAACTGGGCCCCGACACTAGCATATCTCACTAACGCAGGTAACGTTACGGCGGTGATAGTGCAGTTACGGTGCTTGTGATATTACGGTCTCGTGGCATCATTAGTTGTCGTACAGTCGAGCGCAACTTCGGCCGGGATATTGAATTACCAAGAACATGAACAAAGTTACGTTCAATTTGACGCGGCATGATATAAAGTGAACAAACCGACAGAGAATGAACGAAAATTCTAATGATGCTTTTCGTTTACTATATGTGCTCAGTATGAATAGGAATAACTCACTTAAATTGAATGCTAAAGTTTGACGCGGCAATATAAAAAGTGAACAAACCGACAAACGCTTTTTTACTTACTATATATGCACAGTATGAATAGGAATAATTCGCTTAAATTAAATGCTAACATCAAGCGTATCATGTTTGCTAAATGTCATATGATATTTTATTCGAAATATCCAAATGTCGTTCCGTGATTTGTTGACTGGATTAAAAATATTATTGTTAGCGCTTTGGAGGATGTTGCGGAACAAGTAAATCAAATAAAATCTTTTCTATGATATTTTATACAAAGCTCTCGTTTCCAATAGGATCAAAACATTAAATTAAAAATCACCTTTAGGTGCGCAGCTGCTAAATACCATGTCCCTACATCATCTGTTCGCTTACATCGCAACTTTACCAAAAATTCCAATGAAAGTTCCTAATAAATGCCTCATGTCTTCTTCAAAAATATTTTGAATATCGTCTCTGTCATCAATTAGCATACAAGCAATCATGTGTTTAATTAATTGGATGATGTATGAGTTACACAGCAGAGTGTAGGGTTGTTTTAATCATCATATAATGTGTTTAATGACTTGTCTGATGTATGAGTTACACAGCAGAGTGAAGGACTGTTTTAATCATCATGTAATGTGTTTAATGACTTGACTGATGTATGAGTTACACAGCAGAGTGAATGGCTGTTTTCATCACAAAATGTATGACTTCACCGCATGCCCTGATCCAAGCATCCATCATAGATCATAGCCACTTGGTTATTTAAGTTTAATTCAAGAATATTTTCGAGCACTCTTATTTAAACCCGGTAAAGTGAATGGTTACATGCCTTAGGTAGATAGAGCGCAACACATGACAGCTTTACTGCCTCGCCAGTTTTGTACTATTGAAAGATTAGCTAGTATATACTCATAGAAAATCGCACATGTGTAAACAAGTAAATCCTGTCATCTAATAATAACACATAGAAAAATACAGGAGTCATATTCTTTCGTAATGACACGCTTTCTTTCCCACAGTACGAGCAGAAAGCACACATAACACAGATCCACCAGTTAGCTGGGCAAAACTGGGTTTTGATGACCCACAAAAAATGCTATATAAGCAACTTAATTTTGAAATAGTCACACTTATTTGTCTGAGTATAGCATTACGGCCGAGAAGCAGAACAATTATAACACCGCGGAGGTATCCTTAGTATCCTTAGTATGCTTAGTATTTGTTTGGGACATAGCAGTCCCAGGCCACAATGGATCGCCGCCTCTGACCGCCTCTATGCAGAACATGAACTCGACTTCCGTAAAAATCTTGATGGAGAGATCAATGGCAGCAAAATGCAGGCTTTTGCCAACGCTCCCTCGCTCTAATTACGAGTGATTGTGAGAAAATCTCATCTGATTTGTTAGAATAAATTATTTACTTAATTGTACATCGCTGCCAGCTGCGGCTTTTGCTGCACCGGCAGTGAAATAACATAAAGTCTACGGGAAGTTCAAGTCACACTTCATTTACTTTGTACATATGATCAACGTAGCTTATAAGGCACATGTACAGTCGTGCTGTGTTGTACATGTGATCCAGGTAGCTTATAAGGCACATGTACAACCGTGCTGTGTTGTACATGCGATGCACGTAGCTTATAAACCACATGTACAGCCGTGCTGTGTTGTACATGTGATCTACGTAGCTTATAAGGCAAATATGTACTGTACTTTTAAAAGATATTCATGCAAATTTTGCAAATGTTGATGAAAATTCGATTATGGATAACAATTTGTATGACAGACTCAATTAAAGACTCCTCAATGCCGAACTAACAGGCAGGATTTCTAACTTCATTATTTTGAATTGTTTATTATTTTCATATATCATATTCATGCTTATTTATTATGCTCTGTCATGATATTTTTATCTTGATATTTATTTTTATCTCATTTCAATTCCGGTCATTATATCATCCAGCCCCTGCTGTTAATAATTAAATGCCAGTTAAGTGTTTGCTGAGGCCACAGCTGTAGAGTGCGAGTTCTCTCCACGTCTCACATCAAAAATTCATGGAACCTCGCAACCAAATATTTGCCCTCAAATGTTCAGTGCAAACTGAGGGGAAGACGTTGCCTTTTCCCTCACATTTAGATGCTGTGGCAAGCAGTTAACGTGGCAATGCGTGCTGATGTGGCACCGCTGTAAAAACGGACTTTACAGCCACGTGACCGTATAATTTAGAATATTGTGCCGTGTGAAACTGAATAAAAAGGGACTTTACAGCCACGTGACCGTATAATTCAGAATATTGTGCCGTGTGAAACTGATATAAGATTTAATTGCGTGGAATGGTTGAGAATATTATATAAAATTATAATAGAATATAATTATTATAGAATATTATATTAATGGACAATATTATCAAGATGAATATTGAAGGAAAACATCGAATAAATTAAACAAGGACCTTTTTCGACTTCTGGGATAGTCAAAAAAGCAACTTAATACGGCTTACCTGTGACTACATTTTGTTTTAAATATCACAAGAGGTAATATTTTAAAGTAGGTGTTATTTTATAATAATATTTGAAGGGTAATATTCTTTTAATTACTATTCGCAAGGTCGGTGAGACTTGCTACTTTCAGACAGGACCTTACTGCAAGTTTGCATATTATAATATATCCATTAACTCCATCAATAAAATCTACTTGCGATATAATGGTATTGGTACCCACATTAGGCCTCCATGTTAAAATTATTATCTTAAAATTATAACTATTTTTAGTATAATTTCGTCTTTAATTTTATTATTTTGCAGATGATTCTAAATTTCTTTTAAACTGTGCGCCACCAAATTTGGAAAAAATAAACACGCACAAACATTGCGTCTTTGAAATAGCGGACCCAAAATTATCAGTATTGATATATTGATGCCCAGAAGGAACCATCGCTGTTTGCCTGTTGATGGTTGGGAACCATCGCTGTTTGCCTGTTGATGGTTGGGAACCATCGCTGTTTGCCTGTTGATGGTTGGAACCATCGCTGTTTGCCTGTTGATGGTTGGGAACCATCGCTGTTTGCCTGTGGATGGTTGGGAACCATTGCTGTTTGCCTGTTGATGGTTGGGAACCATTGCTGTTTGCCTGTTGATGGTTGGGAAGTATCTCTGTTTGTCTCAAAAAGCGTTTAACAGCTCATCTTTGAAGTAAGTTATGTTCACGATTTTATTTGTCGTGAATTTCACGCCACAGCGATCATAGCCTCCCAAAATAGAGACAAGCAATTCATCAGCATGCTAGCTTTGCCATGCATTCGCAATGCATTTATTCAGCCATTAACATGACATTGATTGTAAATAATACTTTCATTAAGAATATAATTGTGGATGATCTTGAGAATTAGCTGTAATAAAAGGCCGGGGAGGAGGCCATATTCTTTTATGGTCCCCCATAACCCAGGTAAGAACTGTCCAGCAATCGCGGTGCACGCGTCGCTCGTTTTAATGGCAAACTTGCCGGGATTATTGGGGAACTTGGGGAGATGTCGTGTGGGGGGGATATCTGAGGTGAGACGTGGTGGGAGGAGGTGGGAGGAGGTGGGAGGAGGTGCGATGTGTTGGAGGGATTTCAGAATGGGTGTGACGTGGTTAAAGGTGGTAGACGAGTTAAGTCGTTATGGTGAGACGAGTTAGGCGGGGTGGGACGAGTTGAACAGAGTAGTGAGACGAGTCAACGTTATAGTGAGACGAGCTAGGCGTGGTGAGACGACTATGGTGACTGGTGAGACGAAGGCTGCTCCCCTCAGCCGCCGTCTCACCGTCTGAGGCAGAGGCAAAGTTCAGGTTTAATTGCAGCCTCAGGCATCCAAATATTCGTACAAGGCATCTCGATGAGTTGAATCTCAGGGTTATGGCCAAACTTGTGGATATGTTCATGTCGGCATAAAGTTTTAGTTAGGCTCGAAATTAAAGTGTAAGTTGAGATTGAATTCTAGGGTAGAATTATATATGGCAATGGGATTAAAGAGGGCGATGAAATTATAATGGGTGGGGTATTACAGCAAAATTCTAATCTCATTTCAAACTTTTATAACATAACAAAATTTGAGTTGAAATTGCATACGGCATTGAAGCTAAAGTAAGATTCAGAATCAGAGTGAATATAAAGTTCATATCTTCAATGTAATAGAAAAGAGTGTTTAAAATAATGCGTTCAAACGAAGTGTGGCGAGTAGACTGGCCTTGTGAAACATTACAATTTAAATGTTCCGTTACAATTGAAACCAATTTACAATTTGAAACCAAAAAAAAATTGAAAACATTACAATTTTGGCCTGCTCATATCTGTTGAAGAATAGTTATTGGTCATGATAATTATATTACCTCTCTTTATCATTACAAATAAACGATCACTGATTTCATTATATAATAAACAACATAAATATGATGAATCGTGTTTTTTATGGTTCAAACTACCCCGTTTCAAGATCTTTGCCAACGTATAATGTAACCAACGATGTCTGATCTGTTGCTGGGAGCTGCGATGTCTGATCTGTTGCTGGGAGCTGCGATGTCTGATCTGTTGCTGGGAGCTGCGATGTCTGATCTGTCGCTGGGAGCTGCGATGTCTGATCTGTTGCTGGGAACTGCGATATCTGATCTGTTGCTGGGAACTGCGATGTCTGATCTGTTGCTGGGAGCTGCGATGTCTGATCTGTCGCTGGGACCTGCGATGTCTGATCTGTTGCTGGGAACTGCGATGTCTGATCTGTCGCTGGGAACTGCGATGTCTGATCTGTTGCTGGGAACTGCGATGTCTGATCTGTTGCTGGGAGCTGCGATGTCTGATCTGTTGCTGGAAGCTGCGATGTCTGATCTGTTGCTGGGACATGCGATGTCTGATCTGTTGCTGGGAGCTGTGATGTCTGATCCGTTGCTGGGAGCTGCGATGTCTGACCTGTTGCTGGGAGCTGCGATGTCTGATCTGTTGCTGGGAGCTGCGATGTCTAATCTATTGCTGGGAGCTGTGATGTCTGATCTATTGCTGGGACCTGCGATGTCTGATCTGTTGCTAGGACCTGCGATGTCTGATCTGTCGCTGGGAGCTGCGATGTCTGATCTGTTGCTGGGAGCTGCTCTGGGACCTGCGATGTCTGATCTGTTGCTGGGAGCTGCGATGTCTGATCTGTCGCTGGGAGCTGCGATGTCTGATCTGTTGCTGGGAACTGCGATGTCTGGCCCGACGCTGAGTCTTACCTAAAAAAATTCCCCAGCCTATCATTATAAGCAAATATCCCTGCCAAAATATCGTCCTATGTTTCGTTTCCTTCACCGTACACTGTTCGAAAAATCTTCGTAAAAAAACGTTCTCTCGACGTAACGGTACCGGTTACTTATCGTTAAATTATACGCAGGATATTTTTCGGGAGAAAACCTTTCCTTGGCAGGTTCGTACTATATAATCAATTTTTCATTTTTTTCAAATGCACACTAATATAATAATATAATAATACTTATAATATAATGATAATATAATAACTAACTTCGTATTAAGGCATCTCTCTAATACAATGTCCATCCGTACGAGGTGACGCCGTGAACAAAATCATTCAAAGTAAAGACAAGAAGCATGTTAATGGTGACTGCTTCTGCTTGATAATGGTGGTGTAAAACCTCTTATTAAATTGAGATGGCACAACATATAAAAATGAACTAGCGTGTGGGTCTTTATAACTCGTCTGAACATTTTCTTACAATCACTCATGGGTTTCCACTTAGCTCCTGCTTCTATTTATGGCTGCAACTCATCTTCGAGATTCAAGCGCTGCGTCGATTTATCGATCATTCATGATTAAACCAGTAGGTATACTGAGGCGTTAACGTAGCAGCTAAATTAAACTCTTTGTATGGCCCGTGCAATTTAATAGAGCTAGATAATAATAGAAGCGCGATTACTTATCTGAACTCTGTAACCAATATAGTAGGCAAAGCGATTCACTTACTAAAGCTTCTTCGAGTCGTGTACGAGTTTATTCGTCGTCTTATGGTTCTTGAGGATCCGCTGGTGTTCAGTCGGAGTTCTTTCATCTCAAGTCAGAGCTGTTAATAGGTCAGCCACGTGGCATAAATTAAGTTATAAAAAAATAAACACGGTTAAGGAAACATGAGCGCAATTTTGTAACCCGAACCTGATATTACGGTAGGATTGCAGTTATTTATAGAGACTCTAACTTATACAGAATGGCTTTTTAATGTATATTCATTTTATTGCCTTCTATGAAAACGTTCGATAAATCTTATAAGAAATAATTTGTTTTAATATCCCTAGGGAATTATGAATAAATGTTGTAATGTATGAATAATTTGAAAGTATTTATCGAGGAAAAAACTTCGAATTTATGACATTTTCTACTCCTATTGGAATAAGGGTGCATAGTTGGAAATCGATCAAAGGTATAAATTTTTTCATAAAACAGTGATTGTGCATTGCAACTCGAGACTCAATCGACAATTCTACGGACCCGCCAGCGGACTCGCCTGCGGACTCACGCAACTGGGACACTCATAATTCCTTAAATACTTTACGGATCTGTATGAATTTTGGAATGTGAGTATTAATTATCGATACACTGCCGCAGGAATTATTACGGATTTTTACATGAATTATTTTTTAATTAAAACCAATAAACGTATTTTTTAAGCAACTGGGACACTCATAATTCCTTCAATACTTAACGGATCTGCTCGAATTTTGGAATGTGAGTATTAATTATCGATACGCAGCCGCATGAATTGTTACAGATTTTTACATGACTTATTACTAGGTTAGGTTACGTTAGGTTGGGTTAGGTTGGGTTAGGTTAGGTTAGATTAAGTTAGGTTAGGAAATAATTCATGCAAAAATCTGTAATAATTCCTGCGGCAGCGTATCGATAATTAATACTCACATTCCAAAATTCATACAGATCCGTTAAGTATTTAAGGAATTATGAGTGTACCAGTTGCGCGAGTCCGCAGGCGAGTCCGTAGAATTGTCGATCGAGTCATCTCGAGACCTTATATAGGCTTAGGCACAAAACAAATATTTAAGGTCAATTCGAGTCATTACCTTTATGGTATGAATATAGAAAGTATTCTAAGTTTTGGCTACATTATTTCACGAGTATGTAATTACTTAACTAAAAAAAGAAGCGATATGAACATTTTATTTTATTTTATGAACATTTTATGAACATTTTAGGAGGCAGGGTGGCCCAGTGGTTAAAGTTCAGAGTACCAAGATTGGCGCAGAGAGGCGCGGGTTCGATCCCAGCTATGTGCGCCAGTTTCTGGTCAGAATCGGCAAGGAGGCCGGGAAGGAGGTTGAGTTCTGGCAATGATCGAGGACGCACGTAGTGTTTGCGGGTCCCAAC